TATTCCAGTTCCAAAGCGACAACCAATGTTACTGTCTCTTTTACACATCTAGATGTGTATAAGAGACAGGTATTATGTATATAGTAATCACAATGCTTATGTAGGCCTACAATGTTGTACTGAAGCAAGTTAAATAATAATGACTGCAAAGCCTAGATGCTTTAGCATGCTATATAGAGTTAAATTGCACATTGATAGGTCTGTCTCTTATACACATCTAGATGTGTATAAGAGACAGATATATATACTTTTTTTTATTTAGCCATTCACTTCATGAGAATAATTGGCTGTCATTGACCAGGTTTTCAGTGTGGTTGACTTTAAAACCCTACGAAACTAAGAAACATGTGAGAGAGAGAGATTGTTTAGTTTTACTTTAATGTACAGTAATTTGATTTATATAGGCATAAAATGCTATGAATAATGATATTTATAATTATTATCTACAGCGTACGGAAATACTACAATCTATTTGGAAGAGAATCAAGTTTCAGAGTTGTCAAGTCCTGGCTATCCAAACCCTTATCCTAATAACTTTCGATGGTCTTGGGATATTATTACACCAGACAATCAAGTTGTTTTTCTTTATTTCACTGCATTTACACTGGAATCATGCTGTGACTTTATCACAATTTCTCTGTCACCTGATGAAAGTAATAACTCTTCACTAACATATTCTGGTAGTAACCTTCCACCCAGCGTGGCATCAGTTGCAAATCGATTACAGCTTTCATTCATTACTGACACTATAGTGGCATATGAAGGATTTTCAGCTCGAATGTGGGCCGTGAATAAAGAAGGTAAAAACGAATTGTTGTTAAGATAATGACTTTTGCACCATTGGCCTGCTATCTCACACACAAACAAAATCTGAAGTGCTTCATAAGTAGTTTGAGGTAATTGTATATCAGGCCTCATAAACATTAGTTTAAAGCACACAAATTAAACACTGCACCCTCACTTGGTTGTTTTCAACTCAATTTCAACTTTAATGATCGTTAAATATCATTTGTCAATAACACAGAATAGACAGTTTTCTTTCACTCACAACCAGTATTTATCATCTACCTTGCCTTATTTGCATGTATACTGGTTATTTAATCAGTAATCAAATGCAGTTTATGATTAAGTGATCAATAATTACAATTAAAATATATTAAACATCAAATTAACATTCATCAAATCATAAATTAATTTATACCGCAGCCTAAAGCCGGCCTCAATAGCAGATTCTTCATTGTGCAACACAGCTGTGGGCCCTATCCACAGATGAATGAATGACTATCACAAAGAACATCGCCAACTCACATGCTAAAACAATCATTCTACAATTATTATAATTGAGTTCATCACAACCCATTAATTGTCTACTTACTCTTGAGCTCTTAATTGGCAATTAAACATTGAAGATGTATTAAGCCTGGTTTCCTTAAAATCGCTACAATGTCGCTACAGAGTTTTCAGTGCAATTGCCGTACTGCATGACAGCCTCCGCCGCTATCGGGAAGGCTTCCTGATTCAACCGACTAACCACACTAAATGCTGTCGGTGATAGCCTGTAGCAATTGTATAAAAACCAAGCTTCACGTACATATCTGCAATTTCTAAATCGTCGTTTACATCATACTGATCTTTGGTGGTCATGTGAATTAAATGCATAGCTGGCAAACTTGCCATATCGTGTATGATACAATTAGAATAAAGTAAAAATACTTTCTCACTTATCTTACAAAAAATGAAAATTTAAAGTTATATAAACTCATATATAAGTTATATAAAAAAATAAATAACATAAAAATATATATTTTTGAAAGTATTGAAAAACCCCAGTCGTGTCTGACTGGATTTTTCTTTGAAAAGTCTGCAGTGCAGAGGCTAATTGCACTCAACTTGCACAACAATAATAATAATAATAGATGGATTTATATAGCGCAAATAAACGAGGTCTCTATGCGCTGGGCATGTTGCACTTTCCAGTAACTTTCTCCTCCCCTAAATGGTCACTTCATGTCCTCTGCAGCCAGTAAACCGGCGCACTTTTATCTGTCCACAACAGGGGGCCGAGTGAACCAGTACACCGGGGTAACCCCCTCCTCATCTCAAAAGGTCTACTGGGTTCTTTAAAGTGGACATGAGCATTTGCGTACACTGAGCCTACGGTTTATAGTCCTTATCTGAGAAGACTTGTTCCACCACCAGAACTATAGGAGCGAACCAGTCGCGAACCCGTGCCGATATTGTTGGCTATGATCACAGTGCCCCTGCCTTAACCGCTCAGCAATTTGGCTATCTTTTGTAAACTATTATGAAAAATAGCATTGAATGTAGCTTGCATTTTGGTTCAATGATATGTATTTTCCGTAGAACGTGTATTTTTTACTAACAATCTTCTATTTCGATTATTTTATACTGTTAGAATTATTCAGCTGCTCGAGTGAAAATCATGAAACGATACCAAACTGTTGGGTATGTGATGGTAATGTTGATTGCTACAATATTCAAGACGAGTTAGGATGTGGTAAGATATTACAATACTCTAATAAATCATATATGAAATATTAAAACAAATAACAAACCTAAACATTATAAGACACCTCAGTTTATTTATGAATGTAGAATCAGTGGGGATTCAAGGTGTTGGGGGGGGGGGCTCGGGCAGTCGGCCAGGCACCCACCCCTCATCAATTTTTCAAAATTATGAAAACAAAACGGAGAAAAAATGAATATTACTGTATATTCAAATAAGTTTGAGAGTGCCATTTCTGGCCATCTAGAGTTGCCATAATCTTTTCTTGGTATAGACCCTCTATCTGTGAAAGTCCCTTCCTGGGCCCCCACTATTTCAAATTCCTGGATCCGCCACTGAGAATATAACAATCTATATAATACAGTATATACTGTATAGAGTATATGACAATACAAGGAAAAACAGGGACCTGTAAAAAACATGCTATCTTTTTTAATTCTAGTACAATGTCAACCAGATGAATATAATTGTAGCAATGGAGAGTGCATTTCAATATTAGAAAGATGTAATGGTTATTCCAGCTGTATTGATGGCAGTGATGAGACTAACTGTGGTAAATAATGTTAACTCATTTGTTAGTTAACAGTTTGTAATACTTATCATCGCTACATACCTACTACAATCTTGAACACATGCAGTTATTTTGTTATTATACGAGCTGTATCTTCTAGAGTGCACTCTCATAGTTCCACACCTAATGCATATGTATAGGCATAGTCCAAGTTATACTATAAGAAGGTTACCGCTATGCAATCCAATCTTTCCGTCTGGCCAACCCAACTAGGTATGCACATTTGCTAAGAAACTATCTAGAGATATGTCTGTTCGTGAATAGGGTACCAGCATTACGCCACTGCATTGACTTGATACAAATTTTTTAGTACTTGAAAACTGGTGGAAAAAGTGTAGTTACACCTCTCTTCCCTATTCTAAATATTGAAAAAATGTATCTCATTAGCAGCTTCTGAGTTTTTTTTATAAAATATGCTTTTTGTGTCTTAAAAAAATCAGTTGTACAACACATCAAAATTTATTTTTTTCTATGGAGCATGGCTTTAAAATCTACTTCTATCACAAATAACATAGCACATAACATATGCATTGGCATAGTGCAAAGTCTTTATAATGTTCAGTGTCAAACACCATTAAAGTGTCTTTCTTTCCGACAATAATATTAATATAATATTATTTCATCTTACTGTATAATAAAACACTCATCGTTTGTGTGCTGATAGATAGTGAGAGGAAAGTTCAATTCAAAAGTAAAATTTTTAAAATGATCCAATTTAGCTCAAATTTACCAGGAATGACCTGACTGGGTTCATGATCTATTGAACAATGTCTAGTTATTATTATTACAACGATCCTTTCATTTAAAAATATTATTTTCTTAACAAGTATATTTAAACAAGTTATTGATGCATATTATTGCATGATAACTTATACCGAAACATTACTGATGATATATATATATCTATATACTTTTTCTTTTTTAAATGCATCATGTTGCATTTAGAGTGTCCAGAAGGCGAATTCCCCTGTTCGGATCGATGTATACCAGCCTCAAATCTTTGCGATGGAATTGATCACTGTGAGGGATCTGAAGATGAAAGATACTGCGTTAGCAATGCAACATTTTTGTCATGCCCGGAATCATTAGCTGTAAATTGTGACAATGTGTTCATTTATAATAAACCTGTAGCGCTTGGACCAGACGGACAGTTAGCCCATACTTTTTGTTGGAATGATACTTTATCTGTTTCGGATGCCCACAGAGTTACATGTCAAACTGTTTCATCAAACCCAGTAACATGTTCTTTTACGTTGGATATCGAACATACACGTAATTTTTTATAACTTATTTTCAAAATCAATAAATAGACATTATGAAAGACAATGCTGGTGTTTTATTTATACAGTAATAGTAAATCGATCTACTATTGATAACATACTCAATTATGTTTCTAAATTATATCTGCTTACTAGCTATGTTTTCTTTAATAAATTTCAGTATCGATTGCATTTATAACGGCTAAGAACATATCTTTATTCGGCTTCAACCCATTCGCAATAGTCACTGAAAGCACGAGCAATGGACCTGTTATTGTTTACGAAGGACCAGGTGATTTTATCATCCTACCTGGAAATGCAAACGGCGTTATCTCTCTACAAGTACCTGGTTTTCTGGAAACAAGTAAATTTTGGAGAACTCCTACATGTACATTTTCTGTTCTGGAATTTGAATTTGACCTAGAGCCAATTAAGATTGTTGATACAATTACTATTGACCAGAACATAGAACAAAGAGTAACGCTCAATCTTGATTCTGGACAGTTGGCTTTTATAACATTTCCACCAGGTAAGTAACCACTACAAAATATATAGCGATTATTTTACAATATATTTTTTTATATTTTGCATTTCTTTTTCTTTTTCGTATTCGTATTCATATTCTTTTTATTCGTATTCTTATTCTTCTGGATGATTTTGTAAAATATAATAACAGACTATCATGAAAAGCAGATTAATAATATTTATTGATTTTTATGTGCTTAACTGTTTTTTTATTCTTTTTTTAAAATTTTTTTTTATGAAGATATCTGAAATAGAATGAAATTGAATTGATATGATTTATGTTTCAGTAGTAGGCTTACATGGTTATTTCAAATGTGTCTTATCAATATTTTTCATGGAATTATTCTAGTCATTTATATAGCGATTTTCTTTACAGATACAAAGCGCTGTAAGTTTTCCCCAATGGGAAGTCAATGGGTCCACATGCTTAAGTGTTGCTGCCATCTTGGCACAGGAGCAGGCAACCCCACCAGGTACCCATTTATACTCCTGGGTGGAGAGAGGCAATGTAGATAAAATGCCTTGCTCAAGGACACAAGCGAAATGCACAGCAAGGGATTAAAACTCTGACCTTGTATAAAATATATATATCTTGGTTCACATACTGGTCTAATAACATATAGTAGGTACAAGATAACTTATGCTGTCCAGCCATATAATTTATTTTGTATTACACTAATTCCCTATAAATTACATAACATTTTTTTTGTAGGAAGTTTGAGTCGCCTTAGTGGTGATCAACTAAGCATTGCTCTGAATCTTCCAGACCTTTCAGACTCCTCTCAACTGGAAAATGTTCCAGTATTAATAAATGCCGAAGGTTTGTACAATTCACATTGATAAAAATAATTTTACATATAGGCATATATATATATATATATATATATATATATATATATATATCATTGTAAATCCCTGTGTTCTTCGAAGGTTTGTACAATTTACATTGATAAAAATAATTTTACATATAGGCCTATATATATATATATCTGTCTCTTATACACATCTAGATGTGTATAAGAGACAGATGTATACCAGCGTGACCGAGCATCATTTCTATCTTGAAGGCAACGTTGAATCTAAAACAAAGATAAGAATAATTTTTTTTGTTTAAATCAAATAACATTTCTTGATGTCAAACAAATTAAAATTAATGCAATATGTTTATAATTAAAGGTGGCTGACCTTACTGTTGGTGGTCTTAACGAAAAATATTAAGCATTAAGTTTATTCCAAAGCAGAGTCAATGTATATATTTCCATGGACTAAAAAATAATAAAAAAAAAAAAAAAAAAAATAAAAATAAAAATAAAAATAAAAATAATAATAATAAAAAATAATAATAATAATAAAAAATAATAATAATAATAATAATAATAATTCTGGTTTTACATAACGCCTCACGTTGACAAAAAACTCAAGGCGCTTAATAATAACAGAAAAACCAAAACAAATGCAAATGTACCAAAAAAAATATCAAATATTTGGTTTTAGTTTAGTTAAGTTCAAATGATTGGTTTGATGATATCAATAAATATTATTATATTTCTCCTGAATGAATCAAATAAATCAAAATCCTATTTTTTTTTAGTTACTGTCTTTTGGTTTTATATCAATTTATGTATTTATTACCATAGATATCATAATTTTATTCAAATGTGTTTGTTGTTTATAGGTGCATGGCTTCAGTTTGATTATGGGACAGTTGAGATGCAATCTGGTGAGCTGTATTGGGTTGCTGAACTCCCTCACTTGTCATTCTGGCAGGGAGGTATGCTGCTTAACAACTGTCTCTTATACACATCTAGATGTGTATAAGAGACTAATACCATATAGAGCAAATATATGTGGATATAAGGAATATGAAGAGTGATCTGATAGAAGTTTACTGAAAAGATATTCAATTTGTTTCGAATACACACGTTCACATTCAGGTAGGTTGCCATATTCCATCTTTGATTGGATATGGGATTTATATAAGAAAGCGAGAGATACTGGGTCAAGTGAATGTTTTAGATATTAAAGTACTGAAAGCGAACACATGATTTATAAGTATTGATAATTTGTGAATGCCATTTTAGATATTTTAGAGTGAAATTTATAGAAATTTAAGTTCTTGGACAGTGGTTATCAGCGACCCGAAGGGGGTAATAGGGGAAAGACAGGATTGCATTTTTGAAAGTGTATGTTCATTATTTTACATTTAGAAGGTGCAAAAAGTAATCCATTGGATAGGGACCAAAGTACAAGATAATTTGCTAAGGATGGGAAATGGATGAAGGAGGCAGTCTTTAACAGAACAAATAATAACCGGATCACCTGCGTATAATGAAAAAGTATAATCAATCAGATCAACAATATCATCAATGAAACAGTGGAAAAAGAATAGGACCAAATTTGCTGCCTTGTACCACTCCATTTCTTAAGGAAAGTTTGGGAGAGGTGATTCCTTGAAAATAAGTTTACTGAGTTTGAAAATGAAGCCCATTACAAATCAAATCCACAAGAGTATGTCACGGGCTGCGCCAGGAATTACTCCCAACCCCTCGACAAGGGGAAAACCCGTCAGGAAGGCTTAAGGCATAGAACAATGGTTATGAGATAGTTGGTTTGAAAGATGATTTTAATAATAAAAGTTGATTTTAAATTGCTCATTTTATTCGTGGCCATTTTGATTTCATCTGTGGTAACAGAGAAACAATCATAAACAGGAAAAGGAAAGCAGGAATCTGGTACAACAAATGTAGCTTCACTGAACGTTGTTTAGCAAAAATAGATTTGAATTGACAGGAAATTTCGAAAGGGTCATTAATAAGGGTACCGTCAGGAGTGGTAGAAGAGTTTTTAAGTTTCAGACCACCAATTAGTGGATCCGTGCTTTAAATTTCCAATAACCGTATTATTATAATTTCTTTTAATTACTAAATATATCTCACTATCGCTAGCTGGCTACTACCCTCAAATGTCGTAATATATTTGTCCTTACGATGATGGAGTGTCTTTTCTCCGATCAAGCATTTATTGCCTTTACTGCGAGCTTGTCTTTATAATAATAATAATAATAATAATAATAATAATAATAATAACAATAACAATAACAATAACAATAACAATAATAATAATAATAATAATAATAATAAATAATAAAAAATAATAATAAAAAATAATAATAATAATAATAATAATAATTCTGGATTTACATAACGCCTCACGTTGACACAAACTCGAGGCGCTTAATAATAACAGAAAAACCAAAACAAATGCAAATGTACCAAAAAAAATATCAAATATTTGGTTTTAGTTTAGTTAAGTTCAAATGATTGGTTTGATGATATCAATAAATATTATTATATTTCTCCTGAATGAATCAAATAAATCAAAATCCTATTTTTTTTTAGTTACTGTCTTTTGGTTTTATATCAATTTATGTATTTATTACCATAGATATCATAATTTTATTCAAATGTGTTTGTTGTTTATAGGTGCATGGCTTCAGTTTGATTATGGGACAGTTGAGATGCAATCTGGTGAGCTGTATTGGGTTGCTGAACTCCCTCACTTGTCATTCTGGCAGGGAGGTATGCTGCTTAACAACTCAGCTTGTTTAGATGTGTTAGTTTGTTCTGATGCTAACTGTACTGAAGATGTTCCCTCTCACTACATTGGGTAATGTTTGTTCATAATATTAAATTCATGTCAAGCTGTATAATTACTAGGCCTATACTGTGTTTTGTGTATTGATGCTCATATTACTTTTTCGCAATAATACTATTAGACGTGATCGCCTGAATGAAGCAATTTATCTTCTACAGTATAGCGAGTCTATCACTTGTATAACATTTATGAGGGGCTAGTCATTGTAATATTTGCCTAAAATTTAAGTTGCCATGTCCAGGTTCTTTAGCATGATGGTAAGAACCCTCAGAATTACTCTGCTGTTTACCATTGCATCCATAATTCGCGTCTCAACGATGTCGAGTTAGTTTTCAATTTTCTATATTATGATTTCATGTATGTTTTTCATGTTTGTTTTAACTATATATATTTTTTAACAATTTTTAATTTTTTTTTTTTTAAATTTCAACATCACTTCTTATAACAATGAGAAAGGTCATTCACCTTCTAATTCGCGTCTCAACGATGTCGAGTTAGTTTTCAATTTTCTGTATTATGATTTCATGTATGTTTTTCATGATTGTTTTAACTATATATATTTTTTAACAATTTTTAATTTTTTTTTTAAATTTCAACATCACTTCTTATAACAATGAGAAAGGTCATATTATCACCTTCAAGTCTATTTCGTGAATACTTACCTGGATAACCGACTAATTGCCACTGTTCCCAAAACGGAACACCCCTTCGAAAATAATGGAACAGTCCGACCCAAGGCGCCACGTGCGAACCGTCTCCCTAACAAACGTCCTCATTCCCTTTTCGACGTTGTTCGAAGTTGGATACACCCAG